GCGAGAAATTACCTCTTTATTGGCAGGGTACTCTCTCGGCAAGGCTCCTAGCCTGTAGGGACGGTTCAGTAGCCCTGCATGTTTTTGCGCTGTCTCTAGCGAACCACGCGTGGTTTCTTTCTTTTCTTTGAAGGCGAACCACAGTCCACACAAAAGAGATAGCGCGGTATTACACCATGGTACATATGCCCACCCATCTATCGACACCGACAACGCGTCTCCGGATCCTCCAGCGTCTTCCGCGTCTGTGGCGCAGGGGCTCACCACTCTCGCGCCCGCGCAGGCGTGGTCTCTTCTTGCGCTGCGCTCTTCACTAAGCGGCACGCTCGACGAAGACACCCTTCAAAAGTAGAGCCCGGACAGGATCGCGTTGATGCCGACCACCCACATCTCCTTGGCCTCGGCCGTCGGCGCCATCAGAGTCAGCGTGCGCGACTCGAGCGTCACCTGAGGGAAAGGTGAGGGAAGGGAAGGGAAAATTCTCACCGCTGCTGCAGCGCGGGGCGGGGGTGGGCTGTCTCCGCATACAAGAGGCATTGAAGGCGCAAAAGGCCCGGTGCGCGTGAGTGACGAGGTGTGTGTGCGTGTCAGTCAGGAGGGGGGGGGGGGGGAAGCGTTGTCACGCCTCGAAGCAGCGCGCTCGCTCGGCCGCGTCGAGGTGCGCAACGTGGCGGCGGCACTCGTCCGCCCTCACCAGCTGGCCCTCGCGCCGGCGCGAGGCCTGGCGGGTCGAGGCGGCGTCCGCAGCCCACGCGAGGGTGCCGCACCTAAAGGTGCAAGGGAAGGTAACTGAAGGCCGGCACGAATTGAACTTTGTGAGAGCACGGCATGGTCAAGGTGTCGTCGGCGCATCGCGCGAATCCGGAGTGCAATCCGCAGCTGCGGGACAAAGCCGGACCCGTGTCTTCCAGAAAGGGAGGGTGGGGCTGGTCTCGAGTGCCATCTGTGGACATCTCGAATGCAGGGGGTCTGCACTCTTCCGCACTCCCTCTCTCTTCCGCATCTAGACAGCCGCACGTGCCCAGCACGCGGACATGGCGCTTGCGCCTACTCTCGGGGTATCTCGGGTGATCTCGGGCCATCTCGCCCAGCACGCGGAGACGTGGCGCTTGCGCCGGCCGCGGCTCCCGCAGAACTTGACCATCGCGTCTCCCTGCACGACCC